CTGGAGACTGGAGCACCGGTGCTCCAAACTCCAGTATATTATACTGGACAATTATACTTGTTGGAACTCCAGTATATTATGCTGGAGTTCTAGTGTACTTTATGCTGGAACTCCAGTATAATATACTGGCATATTTTCCGGGTTTTGAACAGTTTTTTTGCTCAGATTTATCTTTACATAAAAAGTGGCTAAATTTCAATTACTTTTGAAACTGAGCTATTTTTGAACGACCAGTTGTAAATCTGGCTATTTTTGAATTTCTCTCCACAAACAGCCATGTTTCACATGCATGCACAAATAGTCGTTTTTTGGACAGCTATTTAAAATATAACCAAAATTTTAAAAAGTACTCCCTCCATTCGATTTTACTTGGCACGTTTTGACTTTTCACGCCTCTTAAGAAATAATAAATTAAGTGCATAATTTACCATGATACCAATATTAATTGATGCATATTTTATTGAATTTGAGAAAATAATCTGAAATAAGTAATAAATACTGTCAGCGGCGGACCCAAGTGGTGGCTAGCGGATTCAACTAAACCCGCTTCACAAAAAAATAATACTGTGTATATGTATAAATTAGGATTAAAGTTGTGTAAATTTTGTATAAATATTTATTTGAACCCACTTGACAACTACTATTTTACGACTAAAGTTATATACTTCTAAGATTGAACCCGCTTGCATAAAATCCTGGGTCCGCCACTGGATACTTTAGGTATAACAGGAAAAAGAAATTGTCTTCTCTTGATATGCGTAAAGTGACAAATAAAAATAAAAATTTATTTTTGGTACACATATGCCAAGTAAAAGTGAACGGATTGAGTACTTAAAGTTAATCGTCTTCAATCAAACATCACACTTGGGGCCTGAAGTTTGAACTGTAAAACCCAACATTTTGCTATCATCAAGCTAAGATTCTTAAAATAAAAAATAATTAAGTTTGAACTGCTAAAGTCTAAAATGTTAAGAATCATTTTCTTATCATTCTTAAAATTAGAATCAAACAATCATCGAAGTATAGTCACACATATGAGAATACAAGTTTGAAAGTCAAAATAAATGTGAATTTTCTGTGCCAAATTTATTTTTATGTGGAGCCCAGATGATTGGATTGCGGTGTTGATTTCATTTTGCAATGTGGTCATATTTCGTCTCTAAAAAATAACTTTCCTTTCCCTTTTTTTATTTCATGTATCTTAATTAGTTCTATCATTCCTTTTAGGATAACGGAGTGTAAAAAATCTCCAAATAAACTCCTAACGTATATGGTGAATAAAATATGGAATAAAAATTAATTTTTAGTTAAAATTAGATAAAGACAACTTATGAAAGTAAACGAGTGAGGAAAAGAGCTAAACGTTAGACTTATATAAGTGATACAAAAATTTTAAGTACAAAATTGTTAACTTAATTAAACAATCCAACACGAAGCACGTCAAGTGCTTATTTAAAATTAAGGAATATTTTTGTCAAATTGAAATGTCAAGTTTAGCCTTCTCCAAATAATAATAGTGACCTCACCATTTTCAACTTTTATATTTCTTTAAGTTCGTGCCGGGAGAGTCAATGACTTCCAGCATATTATGATAGAACTCCATTATATTATATTGAACTCCAGTATATTATGCTGGAAGTTCACATATAAAAAATTCGAACTCCAGTATATTATGCTTGAATATTTTTCGGATTTTGAACAATATTTTCTTTCAGATTTATTTTTACATAAAAAGAAACTAAACTTTGATTACTTTTGACGTCGTGACTATTTTTCAATTACACTTGTAAATCTGACTATTTTTGAATTTCATCCCATTTTGCAATCAAGTTAAGATTCTTAAAATTAAAAATAATTAAACTTGAACTGCCAAGGTCTAAAATGTTAAGAATCATTTTCTTAACATCTTAAAATTAGAAATCAACAACCATCTAAGTATAGTCACACGTTTGGAAATACAATTTTGAAATTGAAAATAAATTTGAATTGTGCTAAGTTTCTGTACCAAAATTATTTTGAAAAATTGGCATCCTATAACAATGCATAAAAACAATTTAGCAATTTTTTAATCTTATATTAGGTTTGGCAAAGATAGCCCTAAATAATTGGCATTATATAGCCAACTCTTAAAAAAACTACTCTCTTTTATATTCTCTCTCAAAAAAAAATTACACGCTTATTTTGGGTTCCCTCCGCTTTCTCTCCTTGTATTTCTTCTTCTATCTCTTCTCTTTTGCTCTCATAGTTTAGCAAAAATTCTTGCAAATTATGCAAAAAAAAAAAAAAACAGTGGGATGAAAAGGTAAGGTTGATATCACATCAGAGAAAATCAAAAGCAAAAACTAAGATAGAAAAAATATATTTCAACTTTGTTTTTCTTCTCTTTTTTTTTTGTTGGTTGGATTGAATGAGAGGGTGTGATTGAAATTGGTTGAAAATACCGAAACGAGGCTATATACAAAATTTGAGCATGATTAGCAAAAACTAAGAGAGAAAAAATATATTTCAACTTTGTTTTCTTCTCTCTTCCTTTTTTGGTTGGATTGAATGAGTGGGTGTGATTGAAATTGGTTGAAAATACTTAACGAGGCTATATAAAAAATTTGAGCAACATTAGAAGTAATTTAGACTAGTTTCAGGTAAAAAAAACAGACCTAAAAATCCAATTACGATAAGTGTATATCACGTTGTATATCGTGTACATCAGTGTATATCACACACAAGTTTTTGAGGACGTCTGTGTATATCAATTTGTATATCTTGTATACAATATAATTTTTTTTATGGAGGCCCATGTATATCACATTGTATATCGTATATATAATGCAAATTTTCATGGATATACACAGATACACATAATATACATGAGATATCACTGATGTACATATAGATATATACGGGTTACAATAGGGGATACACATGTGGAGTCGTCTTGAACTTGAGTTTTCAATCTGAAATGTGTTATACAAAGAAGGAAAATAAAATTTTAATAATTTTTTTTGATATACACATTATTATTATGTTATACACTGCGATATAGAAATAATATAATTTTTAATTATTGATCAAAAAGAAAAATAAATTTTTGATATAGCATGTTTAAGAAAGTTCGAAAATATAAAAATAATAAATATAATTATGGGAGTAAATAATATTTTGGTATACAAAAAAAATTAATTTTGGATATGCACAAAGAAGAAAAATAAATTTATGATATCTATTTTGGTATACACATATCTGATGTGCTATATACTGTGATATACAAATAATACAATATTTTTATTATGATATACATTGATATAAAAGCAGCTATAACTATATATATAATTTTATATATTGATATACAAAGAATAATATTATTTATATACAAAGAATGAAAATAAAATTTTAATATACATGTTGATATAGACAAAGAAGAAGAAAATATTTGTGATAGACATATTTTTATTATTGTGATATACATTTATTGGCTATTTGATGCCAATAACTATAACTAGAGTTATTTTCTGCCAATTATATGGATATGTTGTTATACCATTGCCAAAACCCCAATTATTTTTATGTGGAACCCATATGATTGGATTGTGGTGCTTTCATTTTGCAATATGGTCATATTTCGTGTCTGAAAAATAATTTTTATCTCCATTTTTCATAAAGCCTCCTAATAAGCTCCTAATGTATGGTGAATAAAATTTTTATAGAGTAAATATTAATTTTCAGTTAAAATTAGATAAAGACAACTTATGAAAGTACACGAGTGAGAGGAAAAGAACTAAACATTAGACTTATTTAAGTACTATAAATTTTTTTAACTTATTTTAACAATCCGACACGAAGCACATCATGTACTCATTTAAAATTAAGGAATATTTCTGTCAAATTGAAATGTCAAGTTTCGCCTTCTCCAAATAATAATAGTGACCTCACCATTTTCAACTTTTATATTTCTTTAAGTTCGTGGATGGGGAGAGTCAATGACTCATAGTTACGACACTTTTCTATTTCAAAGAATTATTATTACTACCACTTCTAATTAGCCGTTTGGGGACATCCAATTAAAGAAAAAAAATGGAAGAAATGCTTGTACTTTTAAACTAGCTTTTGAAACGTTTAAATACCATTATAAATTTATATCAATTCCTTTTTCCTATAGACTTATTTAAATCCCGTCTGTCAAGATATTGTTTTCAAAGATCCTATTTAAAGAAATATCAGTGCCGACACTAAACACATACACAATCGGTGTCCCACACTCCCACATGATTTCGCACCCTCATTTAGAAATTATTATTAGTATTGTTGTTTTAAATATATCAACTTTGGAGCTAATTTTACTCCAAAGCCTATTATCGTATAAGCTATTTAGTACAACATAACAACATTTTAAACTTTTCTAAATAATTATTTACTGAACTTTCTATTGTTATTAGTTGTGTGAAAAAAGATATGGGATGGAGGGGTGGGAGTAAAGGACCGAACTGTACCAAATAAAACTTGTGCCAACTGCCAATAATCATAACAAAGAAGAGAAAACTGAAAAGCCTACGAATTAAGAACCGTCCACAGGGCGGCAAAGATTCCATAAGCATTCTAGTTTTCCCACTATTTTAAAATCCAGATCACACCCTATTAATCTACTTTAATAGTCATTATTAGTCAATTTTATACACACACAAAAAAAAAAATAGTTTATGAATAAGAAAAGTAGTAATTTCAATTCTTTAACAAAATCTTGCACTTTCACCACTAATAAAGAAAGAGAGAAGGAAGAAAGCTTGGCTGGAAAGGCTAAGAAGGGGACCCACCATGCCAACCTTTTATTCCCATGAATTGGACACTTGAGAAAAGTTTCAACTCCAAAAGGGCTCACAAATTTCCATCCCCACCGCCCTAAATGAAAGGAAATAGATTTCTCATTCATATTCTTTAGCCTCCCCCATATGACTAGTCAGTCCAAAAGATTGGTGGGAAGGATTGTGAACAACTTGAACAAGGCAAAATGTAAGGGACCCCTCACCCATTTGAGTTTTCCTTTACGTTCTGGTCGGGTCACGTAAAAGATAACTACGAGTAATTACTCATAAAAAGTGAAATTAGTAGCCTAAAGCAAGACAAGTGTTACAACATGTTAAAAATTTTACAATGTCAAATTATGTAAGTTAAATCCAGTTAGTTTCCAGGTGATCCACTGGCAGCTAGCTATTTTTCTAACTTCTGTACATCTCTTTTCTACAACTACAATCCCCATGGTGGTCCTTTTTGCCTCAGTATGACTCATGACTGGCATTTCAAGAATTCCCCATTTCAACTCCTTTTCCTATTCTTAAAAGCTAAAATCACTGCAAAATTTTTGGATGCCAGTGACGTAAAGCTGAAACTTCAGGAAAATCTTGAAATCAATAGTAGATCAAAATGGGAGAAGAAAATCAGAGTGCGGCCAGTCTTGAGGAAATACAAATACAATGTCATGTAACATTGTCATGAATTTGTGTAACTCTGTGAAAGTCCACAATTTGAGCACAACATAAATTCTTAAAATATTAGTAAGAATTCTGGGAGAATCTTAAAAGTCTTTAACATAGTAATACCTGCCTGCATCCTGGTGTTGAATTTGATAGAAACCCCAGGTGGCGAAAAAGTTAACCTGAAAAAAAAGAAGGGAAGAGAACAGGTGAAAGTAGCTCAGTAAAGATGGGGGTAGCAAAGGCAGTAAGTGGGGCATTTCTGTAGCGAATTTAGATCTAATCATCTTTAACCCCCATTGATTTAAGAGAAAGTAAAGCCAACAATTATGCAAAAAGACACCACCTTCACTCACATATTAACTATACATTAATCAGACCTGGTCCAACCCACAACTCTTTGGTAATGCACAGCATCATGACAAACACCCTGGCTTTTCAGTGCATAGCACAAGTTATAGATAGAGAATAAAATCTTTAAATAAAAACTATGATCTATTTTATTAAGGTATCAATTTGAAAATGATTTTGCCTGTAAATTTAAGCAATGTATTTGTACAAATAGCCAACCCAAAAGTAGCAGAAGTTTCTGTATTTCAAAGCTGTACAGGTGCCAAGTCAGCATCCTATGTGGACTTGGTAGAATAAAAGCTGACATGATGTGGGGAAGGGGTGGTGGTGAGGGGTGACTGCTCTGCCTTTTGCTTTTGAGTTACCACCATCTTCATTACCTCTGCTTTTAGCCTGCCTTTGAAACATTCTTTTTCAACATTCTTTTTTTTTTTTTTTTACTTTTCTGTTTCTACATTCATCCATTCATCCATTCATCATTTCCTTAAGAACACCACATTCTCTCTGAAATTCATTTCTCTTCCCTTCGTCCTTTTCCCCTCAATATATCAATTCATCAGTCTCTTATAACAATTCTCTGTTGAGTTCCATGATCAGATAGTCTAAAGTACTTCCATGGTGAGACTTCTCTATGATCAATATCTCATGTTCTTCTGTTTCAATTGATGAAGGAAATATTGAATTTTATCTTTTGTGATTCAGGGAACTCCTGTAAACATCATAGTTGGATCCCAAGTGTGGATTGAGGATCCTGATGATGCTTGGATTGATGGAGAAGTTACAGAAATTAAGGGCTCAAATGCTACAGTAGTCACAACTAATGGGAGGAAGGTAAGCAGTCATACTCTAATCAATAAAGTCAGAACCTCACAGAAATCTGATATTGGTAGCATCTTTCAGAGAATATATTATGATTGCAAAAGATGCTGTCTGAACAATATTACAGTGTCAAATCAAAGTCGTAATGCATATTATATGAAAATTAGGAGCTTATTAGCTTTTATAAGCTTATTGAAACACAGTCTAGGACAGAAGTTCCCAAGCAAATGGGATCGGTCATGGAACAAATAGGACGATAATAGTTAAATATAATCAATCAGATATAAAACATCAATATACCTGTAGGACAGTTTGTGCAGCTTTTCCTTTTGCCTTACATTGAACTATTATTGATTTTCATGATAGGTATCCTCTACCATGAACATTTACGAATGTGCTCTGTTGATATTTTTAGGATGCAATAAACATAATTTCTACAAACTAATGTTCTTAACATGTGAACAGCCAACATTTATTTATATTAAGCCATAACACTACTTTCTGCTCCAGACAGTTGCTCCTATTTCTAGCATATACCCAAAGGACACCGAAGCACCACCAGCAGGGGTTGATGACATGACCAAGTTAGCTTACCTACATGAGCCTGGGGTTCTAAATAACCTTGCTTGTCGGTATGCTCTAAATGAGATATATGTAAGTCATACTTTTTCATTCAATCGTGAACTTCACAGGAGTAGCTGCAGAAAGCAAGTCTTATCGATGTAAAAAACATCCCAAATTTGCAGACTTACACAGGGAATATCCTAATTGCGGTGAATCCATTTCGGAGACTTCCACATCTGTATGATATCCATATGATGCAGCAGTACAAGGGAGCCCCATTTGGAGAGCTAAGTCCGCATCTTTTTGCTGTGGCAGATGCCTGTTATAGGTATATCAGTTCAACTGAAATTATTAGGTTATACCACACATTAAATGAATGACTTGCCAAATTTAACAAGTTTAAACTGCACATATCAGGGCATTGATAAATGAACATGGGAGCCAATCTATCTTGGTCAGTGGAGAGAGTGGAGCTGGCAAAACTGAGACAACGAAAATGTTAATGAGGTATCTCGCATTCATGGGCGGGCGTTCTGGAACTGAAGGAAGAACAGTCGAGCAACAAGTTTTGGAGGTGGGCACTAATTACTATTTGCTGCTTATTATACTTGAATGGTCTACTACTAGAGTTCAATGCAAATTCATAATTCTGCTTTTCCAGTCCAACCCAGTTTTAGAAGCATTTGGAAATGCAAAGACCGTGAAGAACAACAATTCCAGGTAAACCAAAAAATGAAATCAAAGGTTTATCACTATTATTTTTTGGTTTTCTTTTCATATTTTTCCCTTACAAGAAATTGACATGACTGAGTCGTCGTACCAGTCGTTTTGGTAAATTTGTTGAAATTCAATTTGATAAGCATGGGAAGATCTCTGGGGCTGCAGTTAGGACATATCTTCTTGAACGGTCACGTGTTTGCCAAGTCTCAGACCCAGAGAGAAACTACCATTGTTTTTACATGCTTTGTGCTGCACCACCAGAGGTGAGTTCCATGGGACAGCCCATTTGCAAATTCTTCACAAATGATATTGAGCTGCCACCTAGATGATCTACGGAATCTTTTACAGGATGTGAAAAGATACAAACTTGGAGATCCAAGATCATTTCATTATCTAAACCAAACTAACTGTTACGAAGTTGCAAATGTTGACGATGCAAGAGAGTATCTTGAAACGAGAAATGCTATGGATGTTGTTGGAATAGGTCCGGAGGAACAGGTGTGTGCCCAGAACACAGAAGCAATTGGAAAAATCATATTATGCACCTAGAATATATTTTAAAAGATTACTCATCATTTCTGTAGGAAGCTATATTCCGTGTTGTAGCTGCAATACTCCATCTTGGAAACATCAACTTTGTGAAAGGAAAGGAGTTTGATTCCTCCAAACTGAAAGATGACAAGTCACTTTTTCATCTGAAGACAGCTGCAGAGCTATTCATGTAAGAACTAGGAGGAATATACATAAGATTTACCTCAACTCAGAACTCAAGGCACTTATACTTTCGATTATACACGTGCACAGGTGTGACGAAAAGGCACTAGAAGACTCACTATGTAAACGTGTCATTGTAACTCCTGATGGAAACATCACAAAACTATTGGATCCAGCAGCTGCAACCACAAGCAGGGATGCCCTGGCAAAGACTGTATACTCCAGATTGTTCGACTGGTAAGCAAATATATAGAATGTGGATCCCAGATTAAGCCTCTCCCTGGCTGCAAAACTGTCTCATGAGAGGGGAATCTTAATACTTACTAAGCAAAAGATTACTTTCTCGACTGAAAATGATTGGAGACTTACAGCATTAACAGCTAGGGAGAGCAAAAGTTACAAGTGCATTGCTGNTGGTAAGCAAATATATAGAATGTGGATCCCAGATTAAGCCTCTCCCTGGCTGCAAAACTGTCTCGTGAGAGGGGAATCTTAATACTTACAAAGCAAAAGATTACTTTCTCGACTGAAAATGATTGGAGACTTACAGCATTAACAGCTAGGAAGAGCAAAATTTACAAGTGCATTGCGAAAAGAAAAAAAAAAAAGAATTACTGGTAATATGATAGTATCATTTGCTGCACTGGACTGTGACTCATATATGTTGCAACTTCTTCTTAATGAAGCTCTAAATGATCATAGGATGCCACAAAAGATACATAATTATACCAAAATACTCAAATTCTAAATTCTTTCAATATAATTCTGATTATAAACTGGAGTAATAAATAACTGGGGTTTCTCATAAAGAACAGAAGAGATTCAAAGAGTAGAAGAGTGATCAAACAGGACTTAAAGATCATGGAGAATTTTCTAGCTGAAATTTTTTATTGAGATTGAAGATGTTATATATATTTCAAGCCTGGTTTCCGATTTTAGTTTCACATTTTGAAACCAGACAAATGTAGTGCTTTGAATCCTGTTGACATGCAGATATTCAATCTCTAGACAAATGATGGCTGCTTGCTACAGAGAGTCAGAATCATATTAGTCTAAAAAGAACATATTCGAGTTGATTAGCATTATCCAGCATAAGACTAGATTCAACTACCAAAAGATAACATTCAAAATAAAATCCTTTTGACAGCTTCTATGTGGCAGGCTTGTGGACAAGATAAACAGTTCAATTGGGCAAGATCCTGATGCAAAAAGCATAATTGGCGTCCTTGATATATATGGCTTTGAGAGCTTCAAAATCAACAGGTTTGGATAATTGTTTTTGCGAATTTTGAGTATATAAAATCATTACCTCAAAATTAACAGCCCGTTACATGCTTTACCTCAGTTTTGAGCAATTCTGCATCAACCTAACAAATGAGAAGTTGCAGCAGCACTTTAACCAGGTAAAGCATGAGAACCTTTATTCACTCTTCAGTGCCTTAATTTTTCAGTCCCACTCAGAAAAGTGGAATATTAAATAGAAACACTGTTTTTACAGCACGTATTCAAGATGGAACAAGATGATTACACGACAGAAGAAATCAACTGGAGTTATGTGGAGTTTGTAGATAACCAAGATGTTTTAGATCTTATTGAGAAGGTACCCTCATTCTGACAACATACATTTTTGTCACTTTATTTTAATTCAACAAGCAAAACTTTCGATGATTTTGCATCATATGTGCAGAAACCTGGAGGCATTATTGCTCTTCTTGATGAAGCTTGGTAAGCAAACTTCCTCTTTTCAACGGCATAACTACCTGTGGAAGTATAATTTGCTAAACACAGTAATTAAATTCTCAAAACACAGTGTATAACGTCTTTTCCTGAATTATGAATAATGACTAAAGGAGAAGATATAACTCAATTTATTTCTTGCACAGTATGTTCCCAAAATCAACTCATGAGACATTTGCCCAAAAGATGTACCAGACATACAAAGCCCATAAACGGTTTAGCAAGCCAAAACTTGCTCGTACTGCATTTACAATCAATCATTACGCTGGTGATGTATGTAAAACTTGATACTTCGTCATTCAATTGTCAGTCAAAGAAATCTTGGTCATCTTAATTCTTGGATCAAACAGGTTACTTACCAAGCAGATCACTTCCTTGACAAAAACAAGGACTATGTGATAGCAGAATTTCAAGCTCTTCTGATGGACTCTAAGTGCTCTTTCGTTGCAAACCTCTTCCCTCCATTGCCTGAAGAATCATCCAAGCAGTCCAAGTTCTCTTCCATTGGCACGCGGTTTAAGGTAAGCCTATCAACAGGACAGAAATAAGTATATTTATTTAAGAAAATCCTATGAACCTGATTTATTTTCAAACCAAACTTCAATGTACAGCAACAATTGCAATCTTTAATGGAGACCTTGAGCACTACAGAGCCACACTACATCAGATGTGTAAAGCCCAATACAGTTCTAAAGCCAGGAATATTTGAGAACATGAATGTATTAAACCAATTAAGATGTGGGGTAAGTTAAACTCTTCCATATCCTTTTTGGTGCTTTCATTTTCTACTCTTAATCAGAAAATATGTGATTCTTCATAGTTCTCTCCCTCCCTCTCTTTCTCACAAACCTTTTGTGAAACTTTTGCAGGGTGTTTTAGAAGCGATCAGGATAAGTTGTGCAGGATATCCAACAAAAAGAACATTCGATGAGTTCCTTGACCGCTTTGGAATGTTAGCTCCAGATGTTCTTGACGGGTATATATCACAATATGTTGCAACATAATCTTAAATCCTTTTCAGGAAGAAAGCAATACTGAAAGTTGAGGCAGGGAGCAGTGATGAGCAAAATGCAAAATGAGCTAACGTTTCATGGGAAATATATTATACACTAGTAGTAGCCAATACCATATCTGCATCAAACATACTTCTTTAGACTCATAAGACTTTATTGTATGGCCATGAATAGCATCAACATACTGATAAATCACAAGCTAATCCCTTTTTGTTGAAGCAGATGTGATGAGAAGTCAGCATGCATTGCAATTTGTGATAGGATGGGCTTAAAGGGTTATCAGGTACTAAATCTAGACTACTGCCATACTTCTTATCCAGAGAGAGAGAGAGAGAGAGAGAGAGAGAGAGAGAGAGAGAGAGAGAGAGAGAGAGAGAACTAGACTATTGCTGCGCAACTGGACATAAAATTGCATCTTTCCATGGATTTTGTTCATGACAAAGAGTCTTCTTTGTATTTTATTCAGATTGGGAAAACCAAAGTTTTTCTCAGAGCCGGGCAGATGGCTGAATTAGATGCCAGAAGAACTGAAGTTCTAGCTCATGCTGCAAAGCGCATTCAGAGGCAAATTCGAACACATCTTACGCGGAAGGAGTTCATAGCCCTAAGGAGAGCTACAATTCATTTCCAGAAACTTTGGAGAGGTAACTTGTACCCCATTGATACAACAATGACTGCCGATTTATGGATCAAATTAATTGATTCAGCATAATATGTGAACATCAAGATTGGCAATGTTTAGCTTTTTGCATACATGCTGATTTGACATATTCTAGTTTTTGGCCATTCTGAATTTTTCCTAAAGTAGGTTTCCAACTACTTTTCTTAACATTGATCTTACAAACATGTTAATCTACACAATGCTACATTAGTTTTCCCTTTTTTATATGGTGTTCTGGTTGGGACTTTGAGAAAATTTCTCTGTTCTATCTACTCAGCAAAACTTGCCAGAGTGCTGTATGAACAAATGAAAAGGGAAGCTGCTTCAATCCGCATACAGAAACACGTGCGTTCTCATTCAGCAAGAAAATCTTACACGGAATTACAGGCAGCAGCTTTAGTCATTCAAACAGGGATGAGAGCAATGGCAGCACGAAATGAATATAGGCAGAGGAGGAGAAATAAAGCAGCTAAAATAGTTCAGGTAATTAGATTGCACCACAAAAGTGAATTTGGATCCTAAATTCAGTCAGCTGACAAAACTTTATTTCAAGTTCAAGGTAAACAGAATAATAAAAACCACATTTAAAGAGGGTCTAAGTCTATTTTGTGCTGTCAGTATTTGCTTCCTGAAATTAACCTTCTGCAAAAAAAAAAAAAGTGTGCATAATATGACGAAATCAGAAGTTAAGACCAACCTTATAACCTTGGATTCGACAGTAAGACTGATTATGAACAGATAATATCACCTTATTTTCTTACTTTTGTCTTTTTTGCAGACTCAGTGGAGAGGATTCCATGCCTTTTCAACTTATAAACAGAAGAAGAAAGCAAGTCTTTCACTTCAGTGTCTCTGGAGAGGTAGGTTAGCGAGGAAGGAGCTTCGGAAATTGAGGATGGTGAGTGTTTCTTGTTTAGTGAAAGGATTGACATTACCTTATTCAAATACATTTAAGTGTCAGTAGCTCTGCTATTTGTTAACTGGCATTGAAAACCTTGTCCACGTGCAGGCTGCTAGAGATACAGGAGCACTTAAAGAAGCGAAGGACAAACTGGAAAAGCGTGTTGAGGAGTTAACATGGAGATTAGACTTTGAAAAACACTTGAGGGTATGTACATTCAATTTGCTTTGCTCTAAAAGGAAACAGCATAACAGCCTAAAGTACTCCAAGTGGAGTTCTTTAGAGCAACATAATGAAGGCTCAAGGAAACATCATTATTGTTTCAGTCATCCAGAATATCGTACATGAATCCCTAAAATGAACATTTTGGCTTGCACTAACACTTAGGAATGTGAGAATTTTCACTTGTGAAGAAATGTAAATTTATGGCAATTAGATTTTTCTTATGCTATCGGTAAACAGTGAATTCTTTTACGTCACAATAATGGTAAGAATGAAAACATTGTGTTTCACCAGATTGATCTCGAAGAAGCAAAGGGGCAAGAAATTTCAAAATTGCAAAAAGCCTTACAAGAAATGCAAACACAACTAGACGAAGCCCATGATGCAATCATTCATGAGAAAGAAGCAGCAAAGATAGCCATTGAACAAGCTCCTCCAGTTATCAAGGAAGTACCAGTGATTGACAACACCAAAGTGGAGAAGCTGACAGAGGAAAACAACAAACTCGAGGTAAAATCAGGAAACAAAATTCTGTGCATTTACAGTAATTGATACGGCATTGGGCCTTCAGTGTTTCAAAAATCTTTGGAGTTTGTTTACGAAATAAGAATTCAAGTGTGATAATAAAACATGTAGAAACTTAGTGAATAACCACCTCCCCATAGAAAGGGGGTTTGTTACAAAGAAAAGTTTCATTATGATATTTCAGATAATTGAACATAAAAGGAAAATCCTGAAATCAATGTAGTCAATAAAAAGAGAAGGGATAAATAAATTTGTTTGAGGTATGAAGATTATCTAGACATAAAAAAGTAACACCAAAGTTTCATTATTAAGACAGGAAATATACTCACAGCAATGTCTGCAGCAGAATACATGACACATCATAAATTAGCATGTTCCTAACATCATCACATGTGATGCAATTTACCTGTCATATATTCAGGAAGAAATCAGAGAGCTCAAGAAGAGAGTAGAGGACTTCGAACAGAGCTACAATGAAGTTGAAAAAGAATGTCAGGCCAGACGTAGAGAGGCAGAAGAAACCCAGCTAAGAGTTTCAGAGCTCCAAGAGTCCATTGATAGGTATATCCTCTATTTTCTTTGTGTAGAATATTAAAGTGGCTGAAGCTTGAAATTCAGTACAAGTAGCATCAGTATGAAACTTATTGTCTTACTTTGTCTTCTTAATGTTTATTTTCAGATTACAACTGAACTTATCCAACCTTGAATCTGAGAATCAGGTTCTCCGCCAGCAGGCTTTAGTAGCATCAACAAATGAAGCCCTCTCTGAGGAAATGGACATGTAAGGATGCATATCCAGGAGTAGACTAAGCAAGCTAAAAAGTCGCCAACTGGCATCAAGTAAAGCTAGAGAAGATAGTTTCTGTCCTTATAGTTTAAAGACAGTTTTATAAGCTCACATTTACATTAATAGCTCAATGAAACAGGTACAAATTACATGATCAAAACTTTAACTTAAGCATAAATACATGGACATAAATCCAGAGCCGACCAACTTATGTAGTTTCTGTGAGTTTTAGAAGAAATAATTGCTTCGAGAATACCTATCTGTACTTATTTTCCACTAGAATGGAACAATAGCCTATGAAAGCTTTCGGTTTGTGTTAAGCTCGCAGATATAATAACATTTTATTATGTGAAAATCAAATGGAATTGGTTTTTCATCTTAATCAGACTCAAGAACAAGATCAAAAACTTGGAGTCAGAAAATGAGCTTCTCCGCACTCAAAGGGTAGCTGTGGAGCAAATAGTAAGTTCTGATCGGGAACCTAAAGGGCTTGAGGTAAGCTAACACTTCCTTCATCTTTTTCATTGTAAGCATCGTTTTTGTAGAACTAATATGCCACTCAGTTACTCACTCCTGACTGAATTATTGCAGACCGTTGATAACACATATCCAGCTGATAATGGACATCAAACGGTGGAAGTGCATGAAGAAATAAAAATGGAACAACAAATATCCAAGGTATATAAGCTTCTCACTAATAATTGCTATGCACTAAGGACCACAACAATTAGCAAATTGCTAAATGATATCTAAATTCTTTCTGCAGGATTCTTCCCCTCCCATCTCTTTAACTAAGCAAAGATCCTTAACAGATAGGCAGCAGGCAAGTAGTAGAAACTTGAACTTTACAAGTGGATCTGATAGATAATGTTCTGATGGTTTCGTAGTCATTGCTGCTTACTTCTGTTGTCATTCTTCACTAATCAGGAAAACCATGATATACTGATAAAATGCCTCGCGGAAGACAAGCAATTTGACAAGGGAAGACCAGTAGCTGCATGCACCCTATACAAAGCACTTCTGCAGTGGAGATCCTTTGAAGCAGAAAAAACAAATATATTTGATAGGATTATTCATACCATCCGATCATCTATAGAGGTGAAATTGCACTATGATCCATTGTTGACTAGGAATGGTCCTAATGAATGATTGAACCTAAAGCTACTTAGACAACCATTTGACAATAATTTATTGACATTTCATTGTAGGATCAGGATAACACTGGTGATCTAGCCTACTGGCTGTCAACATCTTCAACTCTATTGTTCCTTTTGCAAACCACAATTAAAGCTGGTAATGTGCCTACTAGGTCCCCATATCGTAATCGCAGCTCACCTACCACATTGTTTGGCAGAATGGCACAGGTAAACATTCATAATATAAGCTTTCAATCATGTATGAACATGTTTACATTGACATATCAAGGGCAACAGCAGGGTTTTCGCTCAACTTCATTAAGCATGGCAATTTCCAGTGGATACAGCGGAATTGAGGGAAGCCCAAATGTCCGTACAAGGATTGAAGCTAAATACCCAGCCTTATTGTTTAAGCAACACCTAACTGCATGCGTTGAGAAAATTTATGGAATGATCCGTGACAACTTAAAGAAAGAAATAAGTCCATTCCTTAACCAGTGCATACATGTAAGCACCACTTTTCGTGCTGTAATCCCTTGTCTATACTTTTGCAGCAGCTCAAGCTAACTTATAAAATAAATTGACAGGCACCAAGATCTGCAAGGGTAAGACCTTTAAAAGGGTCATCTAGAAGTATACACTCCAACATCATCGCGAAACAACAGGCATCCATCATACACTGGCAAAACATTGTGAATAGCCTAGACAGTACATTGACAATACTCTCAGAAAATAATGTAAGTGAAGTAACATCTTGTTATCAGCTTTCCTTAATTTTATGTCTGGAGATATCTCCAGTTTTCATAAGTGGGATCTGTGTTTTCAGGTCCCTTCCACAATTACAAGGAAAATATTCAGTCAGGTGTTCTCATACATAAATGTCCAGCTTTTCAACAGGTATTTTAACAACTTTGTTTCACTTCAGAAGTAACCTAAATGTCCTCAGTCCTGATGTCAGAAATATGAAAACTTTTCAGCTTGTTGCTTCGCCGTGAGTGCTGCTCATTTAGCAATGGGGAATATCTGAAGGCAGGTCTGCAAGAACTGGAAAGTTGGTGTTCCAAAGCAACAGAGCAGGTAAAAAAGTTGTTCACAGTGGTAATCTGGTGTTCGAAAACAAGAAATAATGTTTTAATTCGTTCTCATGAAACAGTATGTTGGATCTTCATGGGATGAACTTCAACACATAAGGCAAGCTGTAGGATTTCTGGTATGCTATTGTCCACATCATCATTCTGTAAGCAGATTACCTCATAGCTGAGTACTTATATTATCATGCCCCAACCTCACAGGTGTTGCATCAAAAATCTCAAAAGGCATTGGATGAGATCACGAGTGACCTCTGCCCGGTAATTAAGCTCTGTGCTAAAAACAATCTAATTCCCCCAACGTCCCTCAAAACTATTCTTTTCGTTTGACTTTTCAAAACAGAAAAAGAACTCTCTTTTCATTTCAAACTAAGAGGCCAAATGACAATGATGTTAGCAGTTAGTCACAGAGGATTATAGATATCATTTTTGTAATAAATGAATTCTAGCTATGATTAGAACTCAGAACCGAGAACTGAAATTTATATCCTGTTGCTTTTTTCCCCTCTTTTCTCTAAGATGTTGAGCATTGCACAAATATATCGGATTGGAACTATGTTCTGGGACGACAAATACGGAACTCATGGTTTATCTCCAGAGGTAAGCACTCTTGTTCAGTGTGTTATTAGAGGTACTCTATCCTTCCATTAGAGTTGGTAAATTTATTCAAGGTTCTCCCAGTTTGACGCCGATGGTCCGCAAATAGCTGGTCATGCAACACAAGCATATATTATCATGTAAAAGTAAAAACAAAGAATTATTGCGTGCATTGGGCTTCTTCTCTTATTATATGAAAACAATCTATCAGTAAAGAGCTAAAAGACAAGATGTTCCCAAATAGAAAAAGATAGAAAAAACAAACACCAAATAAAAACAGCCCACCAATCTTCTTAATTTGTGTCTAAGCTCTGGTGGGAAGAAGTCCTACCTGCTTCAACAGAGAAGCCAAGTGTGCTATGCAGTTTCATACATACACCAAAACTTTTTACTAAAGCACTCATGTTATTCTCATGTCAAAGAGTGAAACAGCTTACCCTCCTTTATGTTCCAGAACAACTTTAGTGTAAAAGAAACACCCAAAGGTCGTGGACAGCACAGGATTCTCTCAGTGTTGCAAAAGATTTCCATCATAGCTCCCTTAGCGAGAAAATCATATAGATAGCTTCTTTACGGCTTTACCCTTAAAAACTTGACAATGACAACGAAAGAAACTGATGTCGAAATTAATTTTCTTCTTAACCATTTCTTTTCCTCTTCTAAGTAAATAGTCTTATTGATTCTGTAAACAAAATGATTTTAAAAAGCACACAAAAGCAACTCTGAACCTACACTGAGTAGGCCTTGGATGGATATTTGTGAAAGAACTGTTTCTTTGTTCAGCAGATCTAGTTATGTATAGTTTGAACAATTAGCATAGACACTGCTGACACTTCTGGAATTTCAGGCCATTAGCAGGATGAGAGCACTAACATTGGAAGACTCAACCAGCATTCCAAATAATACATTCTTGCTTGATGTGGATTCAAGGTAATTAACTTTAAACATACAAAATAAATTGACTTTCATTCTTCAACTAACTCATCTTCCAAATTACAGCATACCATTCTCTATAGAAGAAATATCACGATCCTTTCACATTATCAACCTGTCTGATGTCGAACCACCTCCCCTCCTTCGTCAAAGATCAGATTTTCAGTTCCTGCTGCAAGCAACGGAAAAAGAGTTTTGAACAATTTCTTTTTGATTTACACAGAAAGAAGGATAGTTATAGGACTTGATTGATTGAATTCTTTCTTTTGTTTATTGGTTAGATAGAGAGTGATGAGTGTTCAAAATGTAAATCTTTTTGGTTTCATGTTTCATATTCATTTTCCTCATTCAAGCGATGATTCTACAAAATATTGCATTGCAAGAGATTTGTTGTATTATATGTTGAAAGAGTGTAGTAAACAAAAACACATATTAAAGGTTTCAATAGAAAGAAAGAGGTTTTTCTCTCTGATTCCTTATTATGTTCACGATCGTTATACACTGTTTCATTTCCTACTAACAGCATAACAAACGAAAATCTCATCTTATACAGATTGCCCAGAAATGAATAATTTCAGTTGCGGATTTGAACTAATGGCACATAACGAACAAAACTATTCTAATTAATCAAACAAGTTGCTCTGTCATGCATGATTTATTGGAAACATTCATCACAGGTATAAAAGCATTAATTCATAATAAAAAATTTCCTAGATTCATGTCCACCTAACAGAATCTACCAAGGGTTATTGTAGTTTATTTCTATAACTCATGTAACAACCTGCAATAAAAGGGTAAAAACTATAAGTTGCTAAAAATGTTCCAGCATTTTGGCAATACTGCAGGTACATGCACATATAGTAGCGCTTAATGCAGGAGACGAAGAATTAGATTCCTGCTAGCTGCAACTTGTTGGAGCCATTCCACGGTGTAAGCCGGGCTAAAATTGAGTAACCAATAGATATGCCTGTTAGGTTCGGTTCTTCTTAGTTGGGTACTTGGGTTGGGCGGGCTACGCTAAGCTTACTAGCCCTACAGTGAAAGGGTTATGGATTACCAACAGTACACGCACAGACACACATAAAAAGCAATGGAAATGAAGTAAATTTAGGCGTTTGAAACATTTAAATCAGCTTTCGACAAGCTATGCAGAATGCGTTTTATGTATCAGAAGAAAGTTACCATTAAAACTTGTTGCTGCCAGTAATGGATTCCAGAGGAAATTGTTGAAGCCACTGGATCATCCGAACTAATGAATAGACCTAAAGTTTTAAGCTTACATCCCGTTCAATTTTGCTGTGGACTATGGTTAAAGGCAAAAGTTGGGTTCATAGATGTGCAAATTCCTAATTTCTCCTTTTGGGTACGAATGAAATGAAGCTCCATTGTCTTTCTCACTGGATCAAGACCAATCACATACTGTGCCATGATCTTTACGCTTTGATAAGCTAAGTTGCAGCTCGCCATGGGTTTGCGGATTTTAAATTAATTTTTACATTATGTATCCAGTAGTAAATCCCCAACTCTTGAACTTTTGTAATGTATTTTACATGCTAAATCAGATTACTTTTATAGTTCTTTAATAATTTATTCTTTAGTTTTATGTCTTTTAATCTGAAAATTACACACATGATATCTAAAAAAAGTCATTTTTTCCGTTTAAATTGTAATTGGCTATAGAAGATCATTTCACTAAAAGTTTACTAAAAAAACTCTAATTAATTCTTGTTGAAACATATAATCAGGGTAAGTGAAGGTTAATGATTTTAAAAGCAAACTCTTCATTCATTAAAAATAGAAGATTATCAAGTTTTTTTACGATTTGCTATCAAATTTATTCCAACTCCAAAGAGGTAGGATCGAATTCCGTATTGATATATAAATTCAATCCGAGTTCTTATCTGCAAGTTAACGTAGATAAATATTATTCAAATTTTCAAGTTTATACAGATCTATATGTTTGTGTAGGGGTGTAAAAATCGAACCGAAAAACCGCATCAAATCAAAAAGTCAAACCAAATCGATTAAAAACCCGACTAGGTTTGGTTTGATCTGGTTTAGTATTAAGTAAAAAACCTGAACCAAACCGACATATAAATATATAATTTTAATATATTCTTTAAAGATTTTATATATAATTTTCTTTAAAAAATATCTAAAACATTTGGGATTCTCTTGCGGGGTATAATATTTAATAGTACATGAAGTGCTTCATATTTATTAAACTTAAATAATGGGTTGTATGATCACTTTCTCATCAAGTATTACTCAAATGCATCAATCTCTTTGTTCTTCCATATTCATATCATATGTTAAGATCTATTAAATTGTTATATCTTTTTCGAATGTGAAGGATTATTATTATTTAGGTATCATATTGATTTTTATGTTTAATTACTAAATTCGGCTAAGCTTAAAAGTGCAAATTAACGAAACATTATTGTCATACGACTAAAAAAATAACTATTATGTATTACTAAGAAAATTTTCTCGTAAGAATATTTTAATAGATAATATGTTTGTCAATTTTTTTTTTATTTTTACTAAACATATATTTACTTATCAAAAATTTAACAAAGTTATATTAAAATAATATTTAAGTAATAAAAAAACCCGAATAACCCGAAAAATCCAACAAAATCGAACCAATCCAAACCGATATAGTTGGTTTGGTTCGGTTTTGATATAAATCGAACCAACTCGGTCTATGTATACCCTATGTTTGTGTATATTTAAACTTATTTATATTTGTTGGTGCATGCAAGGCAACACATGTATGACTATGACCCTATGAGGTTAGACCCAAAGCACTAACTTCTATTGAATGCAACCCTTATACATGAATGGGGCCAAAGTTTATAAAAAAAAAATTCCACTGTACTCCTAGTGTTAGGGAATTTAACACTCTCAAAAATCACAGATTTGCAAGGATTCTAGCAGCTTATTTAATATTGAAATGCTTCATAAAAAAAACACATAAGTCTTAGAAACCAGGAAAGAACATAAAAGTAGACAGCCATGAGATCAAATATAAAAAGACAAAACATTCATCATCAGCAGCATGCATGCATGAGAAATTAAAATTCTTCAGCTAAAGTACTTATAGCTGAAATTAGGCTGATTTAGCTACTAATGCAAGCAAGAACTCCTTGTAGCTTCCATTTGCAATTTCTTCAATCTTGTTAGTCAGAGTAGTTCCATTTCTCTTATGAAACTCTTGTGCAATTTGCTTAATATCTTCATCAACTCTAGTAGCAATGACTCTTGTCACTGAGTCTCTGGCTGGCTCATCCACATCTAGTCTCAGTGATGCATCCAAAATCTATAAATAAAATCACCCCGAATCAGAAAATCTAATGTGAAAAAAGAGAGAAAGAAAAAAAAATGTGTAGAAAAAGATTATAAGTGCCTAATTAATTTGGAGAATAATCATACTTTGCTGAAGTAAGTTTGAGGTGTACAAAGGCATTCTACTGTCTGTTTTAAGATTAAGCTACCACCAAGTTCCTGAAAGGAGACAAAAAAAGAGAAATTTAAACAAAAAGTAAGAAAATTTATGGTGAAACAAATTAAATAGACCTTCCTTTCTAAAAGCTCAAGTGGTCTCCGATAGGTCATTGGTTCGAGCCGTGGAATCAGCCATTGATGCTTGCGTCAGGGCAAGGCTGACTATATCACGACCTTTCTCTAGACCTTGCATGAATAAGGGATATTTTGTGCACCAAGCTGTCTTTTTTCTTTTTCAAAATTTAATTTCAAGCAAACGCCATAAATATTTATTTACCTCATCGAAATAGTTGCCACTGATTTGCTTGTAATAGGAATAAAGTGCCTTGAGATGGAGCTTGCTTCTTGTTGATAATATCCTCACAATTTCCTCATCTTCAATAAGCTCCTTTTTCCCACTATCTTTAATGGCCTTCAAAAACTCCTTAGCCTCAGATTTTGCAAGTTCTTCGTCAACTCTTGGTCCTTCATAACGGTATGAACTCACAAGGCCAACTAAAAGCTATTTCCAACAAAGAAAAGCTTAATCAGTACTCAAATTCCAATTTATAATCCAACCAAAGCCCAAGTTTGATGACCCCCCAAAAAAGATATATTTAACTTATATTCACTGATAACCTATTGAATATTTCTACATTATCGGTCGGTGCAAATTAAGCTGATATAGAAGGTTATTTTGCCTTAATTTTCAGTCCACTTACTATGGAATTCACAAATAATCTAGCTTATCTACGCGATAGTATAAAGAATTTTTACACTGTCAGGTCACCTAAAAATATATGTATATAACACATCATCAAAAGTGAGATTCATAATCTTAAAGATGAAGCGGCTTACCACGCAACAACAATTAAGATGGCCCTAATTAATAATGTAAAAACTAATTACAACTGTCGGTGCATGCAGGTTACGTTAAACTCATAATTACAGTTTAAATGACATATAATAGAGTTTAAAAAAACTTAGTGACATTTCTTTCAGGAGTGTGGATATGGGAGGCAATGTCTTCCTCAATGGAGTGTTCAAAAAGGGAATGGTAAGCTCTTCTTGCTCCCAAAAGTTGTTCAGAAGATCTTGTGGCAGCTGTCTCTATAATAATATGATGTTGAGGTTGAGCTTCCTTCACTAATGCCTCCTTAATTAGTCTAGCATCTCTCTCCCATGGATGCATTGTGTACACCACCACTGCATCCTACATATATTATAAATTAAAATTCAACTAATTAATATTACTATGGAAGGTTAGCAACAATTGAAAAGGATAACTCGTTGCATAAGGCATCCCGCGTTCATCAGTGACGCACCCAGGACTCTGCGCAAGCGAGTTTAGTCAAAGACGAACATGTCTAGTAGTATAAGTGGTGTTGGGTATGACAAGTAGGGTTTGATTAATTTATTATCTTTTTTGTTCTTAATACAATCTCAAAATGAAGTCATTTTAAAGTTGACACTATAATTTTAACAAACCTAAAAAGTATTTTATGAAGGTTAAAAAGGATTATCTATCTCTATTTTAAGAAATATGTCTATTTAGTTTAACAAATTTTACATCAAAAATTTGAAGGGCAAGATGATGTTTAATTTGAGACAAAGATTGTCTTAGCCTTACGTTGCAACACACCGGTCCAAGTACGGATTAACAAAATTAATTGGAAAATGCCCCACCAAATGGGGATCGATCTCAGCATCCTTCGCAAATGTTGAACCCGCTCAACCACCTCCACAGTGAGCTGTTTGTGTTAAAGCAGGTTCAAACTATATTTAATTTTATACTGTAATTTTCCTCCTTTAAATATAATTTATCAATATACACGGTATAATTTTTTGATGAAGCGAGTTCAGTTAACCCCTTGACACCAGGTGGGTCCGCCCCTGGCGTTCACGTAGGATCCGGGGAAAGACCGCACCCCTTAGGTGTGATGTAGATCGCGTATCCTAATGCAAGTATTAGTGGTTGCTTGCACGGCTCAAACACAAAGACAACTTTAATGTCGCTCCACGGCTCCGTTTAGCAAAAATTAATAAATTAAAAGTAAAAAGATGTAGTACCTTGAGACGTAAAAATTCTTGGCGAACTTGGAGAACATGTGCTTCATCCCATCTCTCAAATTGGCGTTCATCTTCTTTGAAGAATTCTTGAGTGTTTTTCCTATAGAATTGCCTTTGCTTTGTGTCCCATTTTCCCAGTATTGTTATGAATGACTTCTCATCAACTCCAAGCCCTAAATATGAGAAATACAAAATACAAAAATTCTCACTTTCAAGAAAATTAGAGGGTGATACAAATGATAAGAATTAGGCTAAGGATAATAAAATGAAGAAAGAAAAACATATGTGGAAGTGGAGAAGGGAAAAAATGTGAGATTTCAACCGATGTTGTTCACATAAATAAAATACAAATGTTAAAAAAAAAAAGATAGGAAATTATTCTTTTTTCAAAACCAACAAATTTACTTTATTTATAGTATTCGAACAAGGTATAGTGCAAGCAAACAAGTATTCATCAAAAGAGTTAAAAAGCACTCTACATATATAAATTGCAATACAAGACATTAAATAATAAACATATTCCTGAAATAAAATGAAAGAATAATTTGATAATTTATAATGGAAAGTTAAGTATTTGTGGAAAACCAAGAACCTGAGAAAGCCTTGGTGAGAGCGTGAAACTCATTAGAGGTCGCTTTTTGTTGACCGTTTATGTTGTGTCCTGATATTATGAGTTAAAGTTATAACATAAATTCACTTTTTTTATGAATTAAAAAGTGAAAGAGTAATTTGAAAATCTATAATGGGAAGTTATTTATTTAGAAAAAGAACCTGAGAAAGCCTTGGAAAGAGCTTTAAACTCATTAGAGGTTGCCATGTCTTGAAAGTTTGTGTTGTGTGTGTGTGTGTGTTTCTGTGTTCGGCTGTGAGGATCTCTCTTTCAATTCAGGCTATATTTATAGTAGGCTTTTTGGGTATTTTGGTAAATTAACATGGAGTCACCGGCTGGACAGTTTGGTTTAAATTATGTGAAGACAGAAAAGGACCCCTCAAAAGTTGAAATGACATTTATGTCCCAATAAGATATTTCAGTGACATTAAGAGGGTCAACATGCTTTTGTAAAATATACTTCCATTGTATATGACACTGGACATGTTTTCTTCTTTACTACATATATTATTTGTATATATTTTTGGAGTATGATTCAGTATTATTTAGAAAATTCTTTTCCTTATTTGATTATAATCTTTATACTAGTTTTTTTGTGTAGTTTTAAAATATGTAAATTTTACTTTAGTAAAAAATTAATAGATGATTATTGTTTGATTTTAAACAAATATTGGCTGTTTTGACTCTCCAATCAAATTTCAGAAAATTATACACATCTTAGAACATTAGTGGGAGGGACAAAAAAAGTCCCAAAACACCGATAATTAATTTAGGTCAAGGAAAGTATCTTAAAATGAATAGGTAACGGTTTTTGTACTGCCATAACATAAAGGAAAAAGGTTAGACATATTAATAATTTCAGTTAGTTAATTTATGAGAGTTTCTTTTATTGTTTATAGCCTAATAAAGGCGTTCGTAACGTGCTTTTCTTGCCTCGTTTAAGTGAATGTTGCTGTGTTTATGTAATGCCCTATATTTAATAAGGGTATATTTAATAAGGGTATATTGATCATTAGCAAAATAATAATAATAATAATAATAATAATAATAATAATAATAATAATAATAATAAAATAATAACTAAAAAAAAGAGGAAGCAAATTACTAAAACAAAATAACTCAAAAAAAAAAAATAAGTAAAGCAAAAAGGGCCCATTTTGCCAAAACAAAATAAAGGTTTGCTGTTATGTTGAAGCAGACGCTTCAGATCGCCGGGTGGAACCAAAACTTGAGAAATTTTAAATACGCATTATTTTTTACGGGTAATACTTGAATTTCTCATCTGGGTTCTTTTTTTCTGGTAATTTTTTTTATCTCAATTCATATATTTGATGGGTTTCACAAGGTATAAGAAATTTAATACCAATAAGAGTTATTCTGGGCAAATTATGCAAGTGAAAGTTGGTCAATGTTATTGTAGGATAAATTAACTTGGAAAAAGAAGGGTATTGATGTATTTGTACTTAAACTAGTCTCATTTTATATGATCTTTGTTAGGTGTAAATTAAGTTAGGGTGCAAGGATTGAGTTTTGGTGTTAACTGTATTGCAATGACAATAATAAATTTGGGTTTGAATGTTATGAGTCTAGTATTGAGTACAAAAGATAGGTACCAATTAAGAAGGAATATGAAGGACAATAAAGTTATTTTAGTTTCAATTTATGCACACGATTAAGGAAATTGAATAGTAAAGGGAATAAACTATATAAATACCTTTTTATTTAAAATATTTTAGACTAATTTAAATTACTCGTACCATGGGTAAATATAATTCGACGAATTGACGATAAAATATAAAACTCGAAGGATTGGGTATTCTAATTAGTGATGAATTTAGCCTAAATGAGGCAATTAACACGAGATCGATGTTGATGTGGTTATAGATTGATTGAAGAAAGTTGTACGGATCGCTCGAGGTGACGAGTTTGGTATTTCACACGAGTACTGCGAGTAGTAACCTTACCTCAATTTATATTTCTACAACTAGTATGATTTACATATGATTTTAATATGAGCATGTTACCGACTTATTTGAATCTGCATGTGGGACAAGTCCTTTACTCGATATGATACTACTATATTTATTTTAGACGATTACAGTTATTCTGAATATTCTCATTGTTACTGAATACGTTTTAATGTTACTTGAGATAAGATTTACCGTTATTGAAACGAAATTACATGATTTGATAAAAACCGAAATGCCATATATTGTTTTAAAATATTTTCTACAAGTATATACGGATTATAGAGACAAGTATAAAGGGAGTAGACATTGAAGGATCTCGTAGCTAATGGTGGGTTCGTTAGACCTGATGCACCTTGTAATTACAGATTACCGTTATAGCCCTCGCTAGTGGGAAGGTAGAACTAGCATACCGTTACCGACTTCCCTCGAGTAGGGACTACTGTTATATTTGACTTCTTGCGAAGAAGCCCACAGTTATACCAATTACATGATCCGTTCATTGAAACCTCCCAAGTGTGAATATTGATATTATATAGTGGTTACCGAGCTTATTACTAAACTGTTAATTGTATTATACTACAAGAAAAGCATGATGAGACTGAAAATTATTTATTGTTTCTGAAAGGGCATTTTGATGTTATTTGTTTGAGATACTAGCATGTTTTCTGACTTGTCCCCAATAAAACGGTTGTTGTTAAGTGTTATTACTCACTGAGCTAGCGACTCATTCCCCGCTAATTTTTTTTTACAGAGGCAGCAGTTGACGTAGGCGAGGATGTCGTTAATTAGAGCGCACATGTTGATAGTTCTTGGTGAGCCTCGCACTTGTTCACGTGGGCGGAGATTTTATTTATTGTTATGGTCTATTCTTTGAGTTCTTAGAGTCGCTCCATAGTCATTCTTTTAGTGTCATGGGTATTATTTATTTATTATAGTCTTATGCTAAGTATCGTTCTTTATTATCAAAGTTGGAGATAAATTAGCATTTCTGGTTGTTAGTGGGTTGATTAGTAATGGTGGAGACTCGTTTTGGTTGATTGATAAGTTGCCGATTACTTGGTATGATATTAGGATGTTTGGTTGTTGATTTGAGACAGGAAATTTTTTGGAATAGTCCATAAATAGGGAAAACTCTGTCCGATTTTTTGTAAAATACCGATAAGGCTTACTTGGGAGCACTTGCTCCTAAGCGCTGGTCACGATCCTAAATTGGGTCGTGACAGTTTACTTAAATCATGTTTAATGTTAGAGTTAATTGGATTGCACCAAACGATACTTTAAATTTAATTTACTGTTATATTGTACGAATAAGTATGTTTAAGTAGTAAGTATATTGCAAAGAAAAAAGAACATGTGTTATGATAAATATCACATTATGGTGGATGTCTGCTCTTCTTCCATGATTTTCATCTCAAATGCTTAATGACATATTCAATGACATATTTTGTATGTTCAATGACATATTCCATGACATATTTTCTTCACTTTTATGCTTATATAAAGGCCTTGTAATAGATAGGAAAATACACACAATTGAAGAAGAAAATCCCTTCCTTCTCTCTATCTCCATTTCTTGTTCATGTTTTACTAAATTGCTTTTATTTTCTTGTTCCATATTGTTACTTTGAGTTATATTTCATAATATGTTATCAGCACGAAGTCTTTAACCTCAAGGTTGAACTCCACTTCTTACGAGTCTTCACTATGTCGAACTTGTCAAAGCTTGAGTTTGTGGCGCTTGATATTTCTGGAAAGAACTATCTATCATGGGTTCTCGATGCTGAGATTCACTTAGCTGCTAAAGGCCTTGGTAACACCATTACTCATGGTAATAAGGCATCAAGCCAGGATAAAGCGAAGGCCATGATTTTCCTTCGTCATCATTTGGATAAAGGTTTGAAAGTTGAATATTTAACAGTGAAAGATCCACTTGAATTGTGGACTGACCTGAAGGAAAGGTATGATCACCTTAAGGCTACGGCATTGCCAAGGGCTCGATATGAGTGGATGCACTTACGGTTGCAAGATTTTAAGACCGTAAGTGAGTATAACTCTGTTGTATTTCGAATAACTTCCCAATTGAAATTATGTGGGGAAGTTATGAATGATGAGGATTTATTGGAAAAGATTCTTACGACTTTTTATGCCTCAAATATGATATTACAGCAGCAATACCGTGAACGGGGTTTTAAAAGGTATTCTGAATTGATCTCATGCCTTCTGGTGGCTAAGCAACATAATACCCTTTTGCTGAAAAATCATGAAGCCCGTCCAACAGGGTCAGCTCCGCTTCCTGAAGCGAATATTACAACTAGACATGATAAGTCTGGAAAAAGACAGAATAATAATCATGGTCATATGAATGTACGTGGGCATGACAATGGTAAGAGACGATATAATAGTCGTCATTGTGGTGGTCATGGCAAACGAGAAAATAATATGAGTTCTCAAAACAATCCTTCACGAGGAAAAAGCGGTAACTGCCACCGCTGTGGCATGAAAGGTCATTGAAAAATTGAATGTCGTGCATCTGAGCATTTTGTCAGGCTTTATCAAAACTCCTTTAAAAGAAAGGCAAATAATGTTGGAGTATCTTCTGTTAATGCTCCAGTGGAGTCACATTTGACCTTTAAAAATGATTTTGAGGCAGGGCCTTCAAACAAAAATGATGACAATGCCGAGGCAAATCTTGCTTTGAATGATGATGATTTTCAAGGCCTCGATGATATTACTCATTTGAAAGTTGAAGACTTCTTTGGAGATCAAAACTAATGTTTGATCATTTTATTGGGGAATGCAATTATGTTGTTATTTTTATTTTCGGTGTTTTTGTCTCGTCTGGAGTTGTTTTTATTTTCAAGTAGTACTTAAGTTGTCTTATGTTGTCGTTGGTGATGTTAGTTGTTTCCGTATTTCTCATGATGTATTTTTTTTATGAAGAAATTAAAATTCTCTAGTCTTCAATTGGATCCAATATGAGTAATAAAGATTTATGTCTTTTGGATAGTGCTACAACTCACACAATATTAAGAGAAAAGAAATTTTTTTCTTATTTGATTATGAAAAAGGCCTATGTTAATACAATATCCGGTAATACAAAGTTGATTGAGGGCTCTGGAAGAGCGGCCTTATTATTACCCGGAGGAACGATATTAACTATTGATAATGCATTGTATTGTAGTAAGTCTCAAAGAAACTTGTTGAGTTTCAAAGCTATTGCTAAAATGGCTACCATGTTGAGACATCAAATGAAGGAAAGGTTGAATACCTTTATGTTACTACAA